TATTTTTCCAAAAGGGGGGGAATTTTTCCCTGGTGGGGGGGGGGGGGGTTTTGGCCCCCCCACAAATTAAAAATCTCCCCCCCCTTTTGGGTTCCCCCCCAAAGAAAAAGGGGAAAAAAAAAAGGGAAAACCCGGGTTCGGGGCCCCAAAAAGGTGTGGGTTTTTAAAAAAAAAGGGCCCCAAGGGCCGAAAACCCAACCCCGGTGGGAAAAAGGGGGGGGGGGGGGGGTCCCGGGGGGGGGGGGGAGCGGGGATAACCCAACACCCCCGAACTGAAAGTATTTCGCCTGTGGGTAAGGACTCGAATCAACACAACACAAAATAAATCTGGTAGAATGGCAGCTTCGCCGTGTGCTCTACTAGAATACTGCGGTGCTCTGCATTATGCGGCGTGGTCCGGCTACAATCAGGTGCTGTTCAGTTACGGTGGTGTGTTTCCGTCGTTATCTTTTCATCACATTTGCAGTTTTCGGAGACGTGATGTGTAAGTTTTCTGCTACGTCTGCTCTACTACGTAACCAACCAGAAGGGAAAAACCATCCATCATTCCACGAGCCGCGTCATCCATGCCTTGCCATGCTCACACGCGACTGGTAGGCCGCGCTACACAATGCCTTACCATCGCTATCGAAACAAAGGCACCGCACAAGGACGGTGGGGCAGAAGAACAGAAAAACCTCTCCATGTGTGACCTTCATCCTGTGCAACCCAGACTAGCACGCCAACCACGTAGAGACTGAAAGGTGAACAGACTGGGCGCGATGGTAGAAGGGACGAAACGAACAAAAAGAGAAACTCTCCAGTAGTAAATAGCACCATCTCCGACAAGCGGGTCACCTGTTCTCAAGTTGAACATCGCTCCGCACAGGGGGCACGCGATCGCAATTTCCGCCTCTGGGTCCTGCTCCACCCCCGGCTTCACGTCCTCCGCCTTCCCCCCCCCCGTCAACAGCTTCACCTTGCCGTTGATCTGCCCAGGGACGAGCGGAAGCAGCGACAGCCGTAGCAAGCAATTGCAACGCCACGTATGCATCATTGGGCCAAAATGTCAATGCCAGCTATACCATTCTCATGGCGACGAGCGCGCTAGTGTACATGCGTTGGATTCAATCTTCTTTCACCTGTGTTCTAACCTCCAGAACAAGTCCTCACAGTGTTAGGAGTTTAGATTGCGCCGCGTTTTTTTTTTGCACTGGGTATCGATCTCGCGAACGCTGTAGGCCACCGTTTGGAGTAGTGAATGCAGGGACGAGCAGCTATGGTGCTCAGCTATCGTTTGGTGTGAAGAACATGTGGGTGCTGGCTGCGTGCGACTTCTTTGGTCCAAAAGTGTAGTTGTGTTGAGATATGTATTTAGCATGATGCGAAAAGAGAGAACAAGGCGTCCCTCTATAGCGGGGATACCTCCTACGCAACCCCCCCCCCCCCACAGTCATGGGTCAGGGCAGACCTTCCACAACGCGTCTCTGCAGCCCACACAGCCCAACATCGCAATCGAAAAAGCACGACGCGTGCCTGTACGTACACAGCAGTGGTATTAGAGGTGATTTCACGTCGTCCTTTGTCGGTGCGGGTGTATTATAGCGCCCCGACGGCCGACCTGCCCAGAGCTTCAACCGGTCCAACCTTATCGAAAAACCTGTGCACTTGACGGCGTGGCCGTGCTGGGGAAATTTCTTTGGACTGAGAACTGCGGGTGATACAATAAGCCAAGGATGTGGGATTTCTACGGCACCGGCCATAACTCTAGATGGAGGTCTGCGGATGGAGTACTCAGAGATTTGCCCATCGCGGGTTTTATCTAACCCAGAGAGTTGTGGGCCTGTTGCGGTGTCGCGTGGCGGCGGGATATTTGAACTTCCTGTTGCTCCTGCGTTCTACGCAGAATCTCACTTGCTTCATTTTCTTTTATCATATTTGACGACACCGATCTCTGTTGGGGATTGTCGAATCGCGACCCCCCAAGTGGATGACATGCTTTGGTATCACCAATAAGTAGCAGCTGTCAAGTCTCGTCCGTGGTTGACTCTGCTCTGTGGCGAGGTGCCCGATCTCTTTCCGCGCAAGGGTGTCCGCCGTTGTAAACTCCAGACATTTGATGGAAAACTGTCAGGCGTTGCAAAATTTGGGTTTCGTGTACCCGGCCAACAGACAAATGCGGCGCAATCTAAACTCCTAACACTGATCGACGAAGAAATCATGGAAGCCCATCCCTTCAGGATATCTCATAGGGATGGCGTAGTTTCGCAAGAGCTGTGATTGTAATGGCTATCCAAACCTATGCAAGCTCGATCAAGACAGATCAAACGCAACATGGCAAAGCGGCAGAGGTTTCGGTGCATCACGACCCACACCAACGAGCTCAAGTTTCGACTTGCCCGTTTGTTTTGGGGAGAAATTGGAGGAATTTCACGCGGCACGTGGGCTGGCCTCGCTGATTCCACCGCTGCCAATTTTTCTATTGCTATTGAGTGTTCATTATCACATCTGTTGCGTTCCGATAGTGATCCAAATTTGTTTTCAACCAGGTACAACAGCTCTACCCATTTTTTTCACCCAAGTGATGGGCGGCTACGTTCTTTCATTGCCCACACCAAACATGTCAAGCTGGTCCTTTTGACAGCCGTGGGGGGGGGTTGGCGTATTGCGGCATTGCCACGGGCTTTCCTCCCGCAGCTTTCCTCCAGAAAAAAAGCGGAGCGAATACGTGAAAATGTCTTCTTCTTGGGTGACGGAAGAAAAGGATTCATGTGTGAGAGATCCTGTGTCTCTGTGCTCGTCGTCCGCCACCTCAGTGAGGAGCAGCACAGCGACGACGGCAGAGATGGTCCCATGGGCGCAGCGGAAAGAAACATTGGAACGCGCTGAAAACATACCATCTTCTTCCGCAAAACGAATTTGATTTTGAACTTCCAACACACTGAAGCACGGGTGTGCCACTGCTGTGCGAATTATGAATATAGATATCAGATTTTCAAACTTCCAATAGAAAGAAACACGGGTGCCATGCGACTTCTCATGGCTCCGTCAATAAACCTCTCAGGCGATCTCCTGCTCACCAACGGAAACTTGCAGCGCCCGCAGGCTTCGCTGACCGCGTAGTACGTCCCGCCGTAGGCGGCAAGGGTGAACACTCTGTCCTCGCCCTTGTATTTTCCTGACACAACCTGTTTTCCTCAATGACAAGTCATTGCAGAACGAAGACCCACGAGGTAACAGAAATCGGCCGTCAGCTAGAGCGCCTGTCCGCGTGCGATATTTCTTTTTTTTTTGGGGGGGGGCGGTACAAGGCGGCACGTCGGTTGATTCGTCGGTCACCCGGTCATGAGAGGTGGCGAGCGGCCGGCGCTTGGTAGGGAGTTTCATTCCGGTTCACCTCCCGGACGAAAACCGAGCGAGAGAAGTTGAAGAACGGTGGGCAGGTGCGAGAGGAATCGACATGGGACGCCGAATAACAGAGAATAATCCGTTGCGTCTCAAACCATTCTTTCTTCAACACGACGTCACCCCTCTTCTCTCTCCTGCTACCTGGTAGCGCCCAAGCGTCCCACAAAAGACATCATGTACGCACAGAGGACGATGGTGTCAAGAGGTTCGCGCGATTCCCGCCCAAGTGATTTGCCGGGGGGAGCACGCACATCACCGCTTGCCCCTTACCTTCACACTGCCGGGCTCCAGCTCGGAGGTGCTGTCGAGAACCTGCACGACAAAAAAGACGAAGGTAGACCCAAAGGCAGCAGCATCACGCGTCGGGCTGACAATACCACCGAGAAAAAACGAACTTGGCGCCATTGTGTCTGTTCGTTGTTTGCTGTAGGTATGAATGCTTATTGGCTCCTTCTCATCCAGGGTATGTGTTGACCCGGTGATGATGATGGTCGTGGTCGTGGTGGTGAAATGGTCTGCCTACTTCACAGGAAGCACCTACGTCCAACAAGGCTTGGCTGGTGCAGCAAAGGCATCGTGGGTACAGCATGCACAAAAAAAACGACAACAACCACTACCACCACCACCACCACAACCCTAATTGCAGAAGCGGCGGCAACCAACAGATCAACAACAACAACAACAACAACAACAAACAAACAACAAGCAAGCAAAAAAGACAGAATAAGGCAGCACCTGCAGCCACTTCGCGTTAGACGTTGCCCCCGACGGTTGTTGCTTGGAACCCGAGGACTTCTTGTTCTTCGCCTCGGCGTATCGTCGTTCTCTCCGGTTCTTTTTCGCCATCATCATCGTCGTCAGAGATCTCGTAGATCTGGTCGCTGGTCTTGCAACTGCGTGCCTGCTTGATCACCACGACCGGTTGTGGATGTGTTCGGTGAAATGCAGCAGTTGTCGTGAACACGCCGAACAAACGAAAATACAAGAATCATTCATACTTGTTCTTCTCCTGCTTGCGCATGGACATCGTTGATTTTGGTGTTTCAAGTGCCATCCTGAAAAAACAAATGATAAAGTTGTCCGTTGGTCACTGTCAGAACTGGTTCCACGCACGGAACTCTAACAGATCCTGTTCAGCTTGAAAAACAAACGTAATTCGTGTCCTAGTTCTGATTCACCCCCACCGATTTTCAATGCTCCATACGGAGCAATACGAGGAACCAAACGTGCCAGCATCGAACACAGCGGCGCTGGGGTAATAACCATCGACTGTTCATTTCAATGAAGCTGGGTCGTCAGGCGTTCGCCCCCCTGGTTGAACAACCGAGCGTCGGACAAAAATCCCGTCGAAGTTGTTTCCCCCAAAGTTGTTGCACATGAAACGGTTACACCTCACCATACGAGGGCTGAACAGCAGGCTGCTGGGTACGTCGTACTTACTCGATATGGTCGCCCTGTGATTGGGTCAGTTGGTAAGCATGACCTTCTTCGCTCTCTGGATTCGGGTTCGAATCTCTCTGTATGTGGTGATCGCAGTCAATAACTGAGGTGGAGAGCGTGTGGTCGTGAGCAAACCAACAAAGTAACGACAGGACGATAGGACTGCGGTGCGCTTCTAGCGTTAAAAGTTGAAGCGAGATATGTCGAAAACACCAAAAATAATCTAGAGTTAGAACTTTCGCCGGTGTAACCCCAGCAGGTTCGTCAATCAAATATCGAGAGGTTGCATACTGTATGCGGCGACAATATTAAATGGGACGAAAAACTAGGACGAGAACTTCGGAGAAAGCGCTCGTTCATGACAACTGGCCTATTAACAATGTTCGCATGGTACGGAAGGGGATGCGCGACAAGGTCACAGCCCTCTTGCCACCGAGTTGAGGCATGCAAACCGCAGAATATTAATTCGGTGTGGGGGGCTGGGGGGCTGGGGCCCAACTGTCTACCGTACGTGACACAAGATACCACACCCCCTGGACTGATCTTCAAAGCTCGATTAGTCCACGACGAAGAGGATACATAAATGACATGACATGTCTTCAGACAGCTCTCGACGAGACGGCTTGAACACCACCATTTTCGTCGCCTCCACTCTTTCTGTTGTAGAGAAGTCGACCTTTGAAAATCGGCCCAGGGGTTGTGATATCTTATGTCACCTACACGGTTATGTTGTGTGTGCGCTGCTGTTGTAGCTGTGGCTGTACACTCCTGTATGCATACAAGTACAACAGTGGGAGAGAACACGGGAGCGCGAGCAGAAAAGATGGACAAAACCCGACAACCCGACTGCTAGACAAACCAAGGTGGGCTCCTTCCAGCTGGAACAGATCGTCTGCTGGTGCCGCGACGCTTGTATATACTGCTGTACCTCAAGGCAACAACAGTTTGCCTCGCTCGACCAGGGCTGCGAGGGCAGCATGAGCTGTCAGTAAGCGGAGAGACTACTGCTGCTGCCGTACACGACGCATATCTGTTGTCACACAACAAACAATGCAAGCTTGTGGAAAGCAAGCACAGGGCCCACAAAGAGACTCTCTGGGGGGAATACGGTTGGTGTGACGGTTGGCTCGACGGCGGTTTGGCTGTTTAGCGGATGACATATCTACTGCGTCAGATCGTGTCAGATGTCAGATTGTTGTACACGTATGACACATGTTTTCGGAGTCCGTACTTCATCTACTCTGCGGATTGCATCGCGTGGCCTTCTACTACGGCTGCAACAACGTCTACCTATTGTTCGTCATCCCGATTTTACATCGTGCATCACAGTGCGCTTCACAGAATTCACAACAGTAGTGTTGTAGCTGCGCACGTTCGTTCGATTCAGATTGACATCATCGGTGTCATCATTTCCTTCAAAAAGTACATCAAGGAGAATACTCACGTGTGCCACCCCGCCGAAGAGCCCAAGGCAAAAGCATCCACCAGCGGCACCAACACCACCACCATCGACAGAAGGGCTAATATCCGCCCGCTGGTAGGCATTTCTAGCCACGGTGAATAGAGCAAAGCTATTCCGAGCTTCGGCGTCTGGCGTGCGTTTGGCTGCTGCTACTGCTGTTTGACTCCAGGTTTTGGCGACCAGAGCCAGGGGGACTGCAGACTGGGACACCGGGAACGGGGTTTCCAATGGTTCTCGAGACGTTTCCTCCGTCGAACGTTACGCGTTACGCACTATGCGCCGACAGGTCGACAGCAAGGATTACGAAGGAGACCTGAAAGCGATCGCTCGTTCGCGCAGGTCAACGCTGTGTGTCGGTCAACGGCGAAGAGTTTGGCGTGGACAGTGGGAGATGTTGAGGTGTTCGTCGACGGGGAGAGGGCGCGTGCTTCGCAGGAGCAGGGCGCGTGCTTCTAAGGACGACTCCCTGTTTGAAGTTTGAACTGAAGAGCTCCGATCTAGAGAGTTTTTCATAGAATTTCCCTTGAGGCAAATTGCTTCATGCTTTTACAATGGTAGGGACCCCTAAGTCCCTCGCGATGCACCTCTTGAAGGCGGCGGGTTGGCGGCTAGACTGCTCGTTGAGACTGGAATCCGTTGTACGATGCGCCACGAAGTAAAACACCGCCTGCCCAAGCCGCATAAAAATAAAAGATGGCGTCTGCCCGGGATATGCCATCATGATATCCGCGGTGCTTCATCGGGAGAAACACGCGGGTCCAGACATGATTCAAAACGCGTGTATAACAAAGAATATTCCTTGGAAAAAAACTCACAGCAGAGATCAACATTTACATCGAAGTCATGCAGACTCGGGACGGATAACTCCGGGAAAACGATTGAAGAAGAGAACCCCCACTGAACTGAAGAGCTGCGATCCGGAGTTTTACAGAAGAATTCCCCTTGAGGTGAATGGCTTCATCATTATACGGTAACAGGGTCCTCGGTTTCCCTCGCAATGCACATCTACGCCGTTCAAGACAACGACGGCTACAGGTTGCTCGGTGAGACTGGAATCTACTATTTAGGTAGATGATGCAACTACCGCAAAACACGTTGCGCCTGCGCTGGATACGGCATCATGATCTCAGCGGTTGTTTCATCCGCAGAAAATCGCGAGTTCAACAGAAGTAGAGCGCCAACATAGCCTCTGGTGCAACACACCATTTCAACAGCAAGTGACACATAGCGTTTCCGTACAATGAGCAACTCTACAAATTACAAACATCTCCGCCACAGAGGTTTGCGCGACGATGGCCAAAACTGTCGCTCTACTGTACAGTAGTACATACTACCGTTCAGACACGTGTGGCTTTGGATGATGGAAATCTGGAAACTCACAAGAACTTAAACCAATGAACATGCAGCGAAGCGAAGTAGTTATGCCCGAAGCGAAGCTACTCCAAAAAAAATACTGAAACGATAAAAGCCGAAACAGCCAGAGGAAACGGGCGATGTAGAAAAAACTCCTGTGTGACCTACATATCCCCCGAAACGTGAGACGAACAAACAACTTTTATAGCTGTTCCTGTGAGATCAGAGAGAATCCGGCGAGGCACTGCCGCAATTCTTCCTTTCGTACGTTTTACCGGGCGAACACGCGCCATGTCCACCAAGAAAAATATTTACTTATTTAGGCACGAAGCACAATAAATACTAGTACTGTAGTACATGGCAAGGCGCTCCCTTGGCGCTCCAAACACGTTACCCGGCAGTCCTCCCTTCTGCGTTGGAGCCGACGAGGGAGGGGTCGGATACATGGTGGACTTTCTTTCTACCTTCCCCCAACGGCCGCCTCACGCCAAAGCCCCCATGTCTCGGCCCGTCGACCTCGTCGTTGCTGTTGGCCGTGTTTCGCCGTTGAAGGAAGAGCGCCTCGAACACGTTGCGGGGGCGTTCTTTCTGTGCAAGCTTTCTCGGTTGCTGGCATTCGTGCCGCTGCTCCTCTTCTTGGTCCCGCTCTCGCTGAAGCTGAGCCTGTGTTTCTTGCCTCTCCCTGGCCTCGTGGCGAGTCTCCAACAAGAGCGCTTGCCACTCCGATCTACCTGATCCTGTCGGTGAAATTTCTTTCTCTGCCCCGGCACGTTCCTCGGCCGTGACGAAGCTAGCCGCCACGTCGGCGGGCTTGGGGAAGGTTTCCTTCCGGGTTGGCACCAGGACCGCCTGGGCGGCGGAAGAGAGCAGGACAGGTGGCAAGAGAGAGTGAAGCTTGGGCAGGTCAGGATTGGTTCCTTGTTTAGACGAGCATCAACCCTTCGCCTGAAGACACCGGAGTGTCGTTCGTTTGCTGTGCGACAGACGCTGTATGTGATTTTTTGTCAGGTGCTTACAAGCTGGCTTCTACGTACGCCTTCCCGAAATATATTATGAAACGCTATTTCGCCACTTGGCCTACGTGATGTTTTTATTTGGCATCTAGAAGTGTATCTATCACCTGGGGATACTACTTTTCTGTTTGGGAGGGCCACATGCCTCAGCCACGAACGATGCAGCTGCGATTTTCAAATTATCTCCGAGTCGGGACGCCATGAGCGAAACGCCTCTAAAGATCCATCGGGGGAAACCCCAAACACATGCACTTGCTGAGAATGAGCATGAACAACAAATTACTAACTCGAACTATTATTTATCGTGACTATTCTCTGGGCCCTTTCTAGGTTGTACGAAGGGTTTCATGCTTCATCTGATGCTGCGTTACGTTTGGCCTGTGGTCGACCTGTGACCACGGAAGGAGTCCTCGTCAGTAGGAGCGGCGCCGCCGGTTTTAAAATACACTGAGCAAAGAACGGAACCCTTTTCGGTATTGGAAAGGCGGCAGCAACAAATTCAAGCCGGCTTACCCCTATCCTCGGGCTGAACCGCACGGTCCGGCGGGCGTCGAGCTCGGCCCACGCCCTCTCGGCAACAACGCGGCCGGTGGGCACGTGAACCGTGGGCTGCCCCTTCCTCTTGAAAAGCGTGAGCTCGTCGTACTTCTTCGTGCCGATGGCGTCGCGGACTTCCCGCGCCTTGTCCACGATCGCCTCCCTGACGTTATCGAGGAAGGAGTTGGTGGCCTCGCCGCCGCCGGACCCGTCGCCATGGAATCGGCGGAGGTGAGGGTGATTTCGCAGCCGAAAGCCGAGCGACATCGCCAAGGGGGAGGCGCCGCCACCGCCGCGGCCGCCGTCGGTGGTGGTGAGGCCGGGAAATACCGTCGGGGTGGAGCCGGGAGGGTGGAGTGTAGTCGGTTTCATGACCACGTACGTTCTGTCCCCGGGCCCTGATTGGACGAGAAAATCGGCAGATGAACGAAGTCGGCGGGGGGCGGGCATAGGGATGCGTAAGTTCGTCAAGACGATTTGGCGTGCATCGGTCCACCTTTAGCTTTGACCTAATTTACGCAGGGTAGGATGAAACAAGCCGAGCTTTTTTTATGGTACCGCAGACATGGTTGAGAGTGGTTTGGAACACTCCGATTTCGTAGAAATTCAACGTCCACAATGCCACACTTTGGGAACAACGTGAACAGACTGAAAAACATCTCGCGACATCGCGGGGTTAACCGCCAGTTGATGCAGGCTTGCGTTGGATGTTTTCCGCTCATATTTTCGAACGCGCTTCGATCTCGACACCGCAACACCACCGGGGCTCATCTCATACAATACCATGGGCAAACCTTTTCGTGTCATGGGTAGTATTAAACGGACTCAAAGTACTAAGACCTGCATCTAGCAACAGACGTCCCTCAATCCTCACAATAAGGGCAACAACACACCTCGTGCGTAAATTATCTCTGTCATGCAGACCTTAAAACACGTAATACGATACTCAGCCCAAAAAATAGCTCCCACCGCTGAGAAAGTTTCTCGAACAGCGAAAAAATCCTTGTGCCCGATTCTAAAATACTGCCACCCGGCGTGCTAGACTGTGGACGACGCTGCTTAATCACTCCCCTTCCCTTCCCGCCTCCTCTCGGTTCTATCATCAGGGCTCGTCTCCGTGTTCGATTGTATGATAAAGTTTGATTTGTTTGACGTATAGGATCGTTTTTGTCCTCGCAAGCCATAGACATCGAAAAGCCTCTCGTTCTGCAGGGGACAGACCAAAGAGAGAGGTGAAGCATCTCCATATTGTAGTAGGTATCAGGAAACCAGTGCTGTGCGGCGACAAGAGGGTTCCAGACTACGTTGGCTGAGGGACTGACTGCTGTTTAAACACGTGCGGAGAGCAAAACAGGATGGTGCCGGTGAAGCGACAACCGCCTCCGGCGCTAGTGTCTTTGCCAGTTCCGTTCCATTTTTTTATTTCTCCTATGCATATTTAGAGACGATGAGAAAGCAACGACGGATCAAGACATGGCCTACATGCGGTAGAAAACACGACGGCCGTGCGTGGTGTTCAAAATCGACGGGGCTCTGGGGCTACTTTGGTACGATAGGATAGGAAACCGTTTCGCTGTCGGGGTGCTTCGTCTCGTTCATGCTGTAGCTGTGCTCCGATGCATGTTTGGCGATGGGCACGTGCCGCGGGCGTGCGACGAGCGAGACACGTATGCAAACGCGCGAGCAGGTACATGTGATGTACATCATAGAAGAACCGAAATTCGTACACCGGGTTTAAGCGAGGAGTTGATGTTTCCTGTGCGTTGCAGTTCAGCTGAAGGGCGCGACGGACCTAGCAGGTCAGCGTTAGCTACACCACCTGCCGACGGGGTCGGGCACCCACACACCCTCGTTGTTGTGCTTCCATCCGCTGTTTTCATGAGCAACAGCCGAAGCAACTGGCACAACGCGAGAAGAACAAAACGTGGTACTGTACAATACAGCAGAAAAACGATCCTCCCTGTACATAGTTACATAGTTACACCGCCTGGCTCGGCTGGAATCGCCGCGACAAGGAGATGGTCTCACACCCACCCTTCGGGTGCAGGTGGAGAAGACGGCCCACCTGAAGAGTGTTTGTCGTTTGCCCACGCCCACCGAGGAGGTGTGCTGCTGCTGTCCATGGTCGTGATCGGCTCTGCTTCGGTCGAGTGGGTTGCCTGGATCATGTTTGTCTCCGACTCAACAAAAGTTTCTTCGACGATCAGTTTTGGGATGATGCTGAGATACGCTAAACGGGAGGGTGCGCCAGAGCGGATGCTTCGGTTCAGGCGCCGTGTGGGCATGTAGTTTGTTGTCGTGCCTTGATTCTCGATCGCTGTTATTTATCCAAAGTTGCGAGTGCTTGCGTGTTGTGTGGCAGAGCGGGCGCGTTGTGAAAAGTGAGCCAAGACCCCTCGCCGAAGAAAATACAAGTCTTCATCGATATAGTCACAGAAGACCAAAAGAAAGTAACGGTTCGGCGCGTCTCTTGTGCCACCTCCTCCTACTCTCTCACACTTCACACACGCATACGTCGGCCAAAAACACTCGGTTCGAGCTACAGAGGTTTCTTGCAACAGGGTGATCGAGATCTCTCCTACACGCGCATTCGAAAGACCGCTTCGACTTCTACAGGTGACGCTGAGTTACGCCCGTTGGTAGACTACAGTAGTGGTAACGCATAATAACTACTGCCATGTTGCAAGTAAGTCAGCACCAACGATCAGTCGGTATACAAGAACCGAGATGGGCCGAGTCATGAAATCGGGCTATAATAGCAGCAGCAACGTTGATGAGCGCAGATGCACGTTGCTTGTGAGAGCGACGCAGGCTACAATAGTGTTGGTGCCCTTTTGTTCGATCATCGGGATGTCCGAGCACGTTGTCTACGTTATGTAGTACTGTCCACAGCCTACTTGACGGAAAATAACCTGCAGACTGTAGGTTTGTGTTCGTTTATGAAGGGGGTCTCGATGGGGTACCCTCCATTTATTAGTCTTGCAATATCATCTCGCATCCGCTAGAAGCTTCTCCAATATGTTTTCCACCCGACCTTGGACACAACCAGCCGGAGTAGTCAAGAACACTGAGAGTGCCACATGGCCGTCGCCCGCTCGCGCTCTTTGCGCAAAGCTCTTGAAATCAACAGGACACCACCGCACTGTCGGCTACCCCTGGTCCGAAAACATCAACTACATCCCCGACCCGTCAAGAATACTACCGCGAGCGCGTCATCACAGTCATCGCGCGGACGTCAACACTAGCAGGTTCTGAACTGCTGCTTCGTACGCCAGCCGCTGCTACCATGGCCAAGTGTCCAGCTTCTTCAACGTCTATGTCTCCTGACAGTGACTATTGCAGTAGTACTAGATGCCCCCCTTCCTCGAGAGGAAATAACCCCGCCTCCGGCTGGCTAGAGGGCAATTTTCAGCGCTGATCAGCGTCGGCCAGGCCTGGAGCGGCATGTTCGACGCTTGCGGCAACCCCAACGCTGACAGAAGATACGTCTTGGTCGGGAACCAGATGGTGCCCCGAGGTGAGCCCGTCAGCGAGGAGGACTGGGTCAAGCTCAGCACATCTAACAGCAAAGTCCGGTTCTGCAATAAAATCGAGGTACGAGAATCAGGTGTCGAGTGTGGGTGGTTCTTGTCGTCGCCCCCCCTCTCTTCGCGAACAACGGCCTACAATACCGTTGCTTGACAAACGAGCACTCGGAGTAGACTACTGTGGTGCTTGATAAGAAAAGCGGCGTGTCTAAATCCCCCCCCCCGGGGGGGATTAGTGTCTAAACACCCCCCCGTCTGTATCTCCCACAAGGCACCAATCGAGCCAGGACATGGACGGCTGTGTTGTTATGTTGTGGGGCTACCGCGAGATACATCGTACAGCGGAAACGGTTCAGGTTTGGTGCAGACATGGCTGATGGGCGAAATATATCTGTTGCCCCAACCTGCCTGCCCCCCGGGGAGGATTAGTGTCTAAACACCCCCCCGTCTGTACCTCCGCCCACAAGGCACCAATCGACTGACAAACACCGGTAGAAGTGTGTGAAAACATGCACGTTCAGCGCACAGCAGCGAGCAGCAGGTGAGGCGACCAGCATATCAAGTATTCCTGCCCACAGCTTTACACACACCCAATGGGAACCGAACACTTCTTCTCTTCTTCTTGAGGCAGACTTATTTCAGCTTTACGAGAAAGAATTCCACTGCCGTACATGTATGTAGCGCTTCAAGGCACCAATCGACTGTAAAAGTGTGTGGAACGTGCACGCACAGCACGCAGCAGCGGGCACGAGGTGAGGCGACCAGCACATCAAGTATTCCTACCCACAGCTTTACACACACCCAGTGGGAAGCGAACACCGCCGTCTCACTGGTGGGGTACAAAAGCCTTGCTCACCCCCACCAGGGGTATGTCGTCACACAAGACTTCAGTCGACACAGGACATGCTCAACTGTGTTGATTCGCTGTAGGGCTACCGTATGACCCATCGTTAGCCCGAACGGCGTAGCCCGAAGGGTGCCGTTCAGGTGGTAACACCGCCGGTGGGGTAAACTACGGATGTGCTCCTGCGGGGGGGGGGGATATGTCTAATACCCCACCATGGACCTCGCACCTCTGTACAAGGCTCCGATGGCCTCACCTGCTGCCCGCTGCTGTGCGCTGAACGTGCATGTTTTCTCTCACTTCTACCGGTGTTTGTCAGTCGATTGGTGCCTTGTGGGCGGAGATACAGACGGGGGGGTGTTTAGACACTATTCCCGGCCCGGGGGGGAGGTTGGGGCAACAGATATATTTCGCCCATCAGCCATGGCTGCACCAAACCTGAACCGTTTCCGCTGTACGATGTATCTCGCGGTAGCCCCACAACATAACAACACAGCCGTCCATGTCCTGGCTCGATTGGTGCCTTGTGGGCGGAGGTACAGACGGGGGGGTGTTTAGACACTAATCCCCTCCCGGGGGGGAGGTTGGGGCAACAGATATATTTTGCCCATCAGCCATGGCTGCACCAAACCTGCACCGTTTCCGCTGTACGAGGTATCTCGCGATAGCCCCACAACACAGCAACACAGCCGTGCATGTCCTGGCTCGATTGGTGCCTTGTGGGCGGAGATACAGACGGGAGGGTGGTTAGACACTAATCCTCCCCCGGGGGGGAGGTTGGGGCAACAGATATATTTTGCCCATCAGCCATGGCTGCACCAAACCTGAACCGTTTCCGCTGTACGATGTATCTCGCGGTAGCCCCACATCACAGCAACACAGCCGTGCATGTCCGGCTCGGTTGGTGCCTTGTGGGCGGAGATACAGACGGGGGGGTGTTTAGACATTACAACAATCCCCCCCCAGGGGGCAGGTTGGGGCAACAGATATATTTTGCCCAT